GGATGACTGTAAACTAATCTAATCCAAACAACTTACTCGACAAGTTAAGGACATTCTTAATCTTGATTCAACAATGCATCAATGAAGTTCACAATGTATTTCAACAAGTAGATATGATATCTTTTTGAATTATATCAGCAAGCAGCAAAATGAACTAGAGAAATATGAGGAAGAAAAAAGAAATTAGAAAAGTCAAAGAAAGAACAGAAACAAAATGCAAATTGATTTCACATTTCAACAAGAAAATTAAAGATTGTCTCTTTCAACAAATTTTCCTACAAGTAAGGTAATATTTCTACTTAGAAAAATCTTCAAAATTTCTGGCTGGAAAATGTTTAATATAATTGTCTATTCTCTAATGCATTATTGGCTTTGAACAGTAAACAACCTAAAAAGGAATAATCTATTATTATCTGCAGCAACATTTCTTTCTTTCTGGCTACCAAAATGAAATCTTTAGCAAATTACATTTTCTTCCTCATCTTGACCTTATTCTGTAGCCAAACATGTATCATTAACATTCCATCTGTAGCTGCAATAACCTCAATGAAGCCTGGTGATGTACTCAACCATTCACAGGTACTTGATTCAGAAGGTGGAAGATTCAAGTTGGGATTTTTCTCTATCCCACAAACAAATAAAACTTATCTTGGAATATGGTATGCAGGTGATCCAGTAGAGAAGAAATTATGGATTGCCAATCCAAATACACCTATATTGAACAACGCAGGATTGCTCACATTAGATTCTACAGGAGCATTGAGAATCACCAGTGGAGGAAAGACAGTTGTGAATATTACCACTCCTTTATTGACAGGAAGTTTAATAGCTAGGCTTCAAGATTCAGGAAATTTTGTGGTTCAGGATGAGACTCGGAACCGGACTTTATGGCAAAGCTTCGATCATCCTACTAGTTGTCTTTTGCCTGGTATGAAGCTTGGCTATAACCTTACCACAAGGCAGAATTGGACTCTAACTTCTTGGTTGGTTAGTAGTACAATTCCGGCCTCAGGGGCTTTTACTTTAAGTTTGGAGGCAATTCAAGATGCATTTCAGTTGGTTGTTAGTCGAAGGGGCGAGGTTTACTGGACTAGTGGGGCTTGGAACGATCAAGGTTTTCCATTCTTACCTTCATTCCGTGATTCTGCTACTACTTATCAGTACAATCTCAACTTGGTATCCGGTACTGATGGGATGTTCTTCCAATTTGAGGCTACAAAGGGAAGTTTCCCAAGTCTTGAGTTGTTTTCAGATGGAGCTATTGCTGCTGGAGACGGAAGTATATACACCCGTTTTAATAAGTTCTGTTATGGTTATGGAGGTGATGATGGTTGTGTCTCTAGTCAGTTGCCTGAGTGTCGAAAGGACAGTGATAAGTTTGAGCAAAAGAAAGGAGACTTTATAGATTTATCTGGTACTACTACTAGTTATTATGACAATGCAAGCATTAGTCTTGGTGATTGTATGCAGAAGTGCTGGGAGCACTGCAGTTGTGTTGGATTCACCACTCATAACAACAATGGGACAGGCTGCCTGATTTGGAACGGCAAGAGGGATTTCCGAGTCGATGAGAGTGGTAATGCAGTGCAAAGATATGTTCTGGTTTCACAAAAATCATCTAAAGGTTAGTATTTATGTCATAAATGCACATTGTTTATGAACTAATTTTTTGGTCGAACGAACACATTTTGTTGCAAACATCCAAAAACAGAATACAGTATATCCTAAGTAAAAAGCTACAACTGACCACAGCTAAACAAATTTAAAAACAGCCCCTACTCTTCCTCCCTTCTATACAGTTTTTCTGATTGTAAAGTTCTTCTATCCATTCTCCGTCTTTACAGTTTTTCATTTTCAATATATAGACTGTATTAGTGAAGAATCAACTGTATAATTCTCAACGTGTTACGTGTGCAGGAAAAGCTTGGATATGGATAGTATTATCTATAGTTATCACAATGCTAATATGTGGTTTGATTTGCTTGATCAAAACAAGAATACAAAAACTACAACGTAAGTCTCTGAAAAGTGATTTACTAACTAGTATGTTGTTTATCAGTTATTTTAAGCATGTATGTAAATCTACATACTTCTCTTGCATAGGTGAGAAAAGAAAGAAGGAAGAGCATATACGTGAGATGAACGCAGCAGACAGCTTCAACAACACAAATCTGAAAGAAGATGAAAGGGAAGTACAAGATTTGAAGATATTTAGCTTTGGATTGATATTGGCAGCCACAAACAACTTCTCGAGTGATAACAAGCTCGGAGAGGGTGGTTTTGGACCTGTTTATAAGGTACATTTTCAGTGTGTCATATATGTCCCTCAAAAATTTCTGTAGTAGTAATAACCTGTAAAAAAATGTATGACAGGGACAATTTCCTGATGGGAGAGAGGTGGCAGTCAAGAGACTTTCAAGAACATCAGGTCAAGGGCTTGCGGAGTTCAAGAATGAGCTTATACTAATTGCCAAAGTTCAGCACAGAAATCTAGTTCGAGTTCTAGGATGCTGTATTCACGGAGATGAGAAAATGTTGATATACGAGTACATGCCTAACAAGAGCTTGGACTTCTTCCTTTTTGGTATGTAACCATTTCAAAATAAGACATAATCATTCAAGTAGTCATTGAAAATTTTGATGAAATGCTTTTATTCATTGACAGATCCTGAAACAAAGAAGCTACTGGATTGGCAGAAGCGCTTTGAGATTATAGAAGGAATTGCTCAAGGATTGCTCTATCTTCACAAATACTCAAGAATGAGAGTGATACATAGAGATCTAAAAGCCAGTAATGTGCTCTTGGATGAAAACATGAATCCTAAGATAGCTGATTTTGGTCTGGCAAGAATTTTTAAACAGAATGAGACGGAGGCAGTGACTCGAAGGGTAGTTGGAACATAGTGAGTTGAGCTTATTTCTTGATATTGACCTAGAGAACATGTATACATATTCATACTGACATAGGTGGAAAATGTTTTCTATCCTCTGCACAGTGGTTACATGGCTCCCGAGTTCGCCATGGAAGGAGCTTTCTCAATCAAGTCTGATGTCTTCAGCTTTGGAGTCTTAATGCTGGAAATTTTGAGTGGTAGAAGAAATGCTAGCTTACAACAATTCAATCGTCCGCTCAACTTAATAGGTCATGTAAGTGTTCCTTGACATACTTTTTATATTTTAAGTACTAAATGTACAAAGTTTGAGATAATTGATCATTCTGGTTTAGGCATGGGAACTATGGAAAGAAGGGTGTGGACTAGAACTGAAGGATCCAGCTCTTGAAGATCTTTATGACACTGAACATTTTTTACGAGTTATTCATGTCGGACTATTATGTGTACAAGAAGGAGCAACAGATAGGCCAACAATGTCTGATGTTATCTCAATGCTTGGTAATGGAAGTATGTCATTGCCAATTGCAAAACAACCTGCATTTTTCACAGGAAGAGATGAAGCTGAATCATATTCGTCATCAAACAAAACAGAACAATGTTCAATTAATGATTGTTCCATTACTATCATTGAGGCAAGATAAGATTAGAGATGTTATTTTGTTGTAATAAAGATTGCAGTAGATTACCAATGTTTTAATGACCTCTAAAGTAACTTTAAGGCTCTTTTTTGTTAAGGTTTAAAAGCTAATTTTTTCTGCTTCATACATACTAGAACTCGGGAATAATCTATGGTTGGTTTCAATTTTCAAACAAGTCTATCTTATAGTGGACAAGCTTGTTGAATCGTGGTTCGTAGGCTGTTTTGATTTTGCTAGTCCTTGGGAACAACATATAACAACAGATATTTCATAATCATTTTAGGTCCAGTCCAGGAGGTATAGTGTTCTGGACCACCTCAAATTAAATCCTGTTTTCCATAAATTTCTAACAACAACTGGATGCAAGATAGATGTAGACTTTATGTTATGAGTTCATACGTAATTTAGACGTAATCTGGCATAGGGCCCGGCTTTAGATATTGCGTTGAATTATCAATTTATGTATTAAAAGGAAGGTGTTGCTGAAGTTGACACTAATTTTTCGCTTAGACATCTCAGACCTCATTCATTTTTAAATGATCTTAAGTAGGACCCGCTCTATCATTTTGACACTTACTTTTACAATAAGCAAAAATATATGTGTGTGTTACCTCCGAAATGACATGTGAAGTGTTGAATAAGCAAGACATTTTGACATTTGTCATTTGTCCCCAGAATAATGCTTAAACAATGAATTTTGAGTAAAAACAAAAAGTAGTCAATGAATTAATGACACATGGCATTTTTGCTCAAATAATCACAAAAAGAGAATTTAGCCACTTTTAAAAAATCTATTTTGCAGAACTCCCCCACCCAACCGATCGTCTTTTCCAGCGGAATCAAACCCCAATCCTATAGAAATATTTTAAAGAAAGAAGTATTAATAATACTCTTAATCTTCACATAAATTATTCGTTTCATTCCTAAATTATTGACGGTCTTAAAAACACTCTCCTACTTGACAAATTGAGCTTATACACACTTGATCTTGCTAGGTGAAATATACTCCTAAATTCTCGTCAAGTTTGAGAGTGTTTTAAATACTTCTTTCGATTTTTTATTAAGAGTCATACATTCATAGTTTTGAAACCACTTGTTATATCATGTGATTGATCAGATGTATATTTAAGTTCAGTTAATCAAGTAGAGGGTTGATTTTTAAGATGTCAACTACTTTTAAATAAAGAAAGAAAAAAATAATATATGCGTGAAAGTAAAAAAGAATAAAAAAAAGACACCAAATCTGTATTGGGTTAACATTTCTGCTTTCTAAATTCAAGATTGTCTCTTTCTGCCAACTTTCCTCCAACGTTTGTACTCATAAAAGTCTTCAAATACTGTGGCAGAAAAATGTTTCAAAGTGTTGATAATTCTCCACCACATTTATTAGCTTTGAACAACAAACAATCTAAAAAGGAATGACTATACTATTATCTGCAGCAATTTTTTATATTTTCTTTCTGTAGCAAATATGATATCTTTAGCCAATTCCATTTTCTTCCTCATCTTGACCTTATTGTGCTGCCAAACATGTATCATTAACCTTCCTTCTGTAGCTGCAATAACCTCATTGAAACCTGGTGATAAACTTAATCATTCACAAGTACTTGATTCAGAAGGTGGAAAATTCAAGTTAGGATTTTTCTCAATCCCACAAACAAATAAAACTTATCTTGGAATATGGTATGCAGGCGATCGACGAGAGAGGAAAGTATGGATAGCCAATCCAAATATACCTATATTGAACAACTCAGGGTTGCTCACCATAGATGGGACATTGAAAATAACTAGTGGAGGGAAGACAATTGTGAATATTGCCCCTCCTTTATTGACAGGAAGTTTAGTAGCTAGGCTTCAAGATTCAGGAAATTTTGTGGTTCAGGATGAAACTCGAAACACGACTTTATGGCAAAGCTTTGATTATCCTACCAATTGTCTTTTACCTGGTATGAAGCTTGGTTATAACCTCACCACAAAGCAGAATTGGACTTTAACTTCTTGGTTGAGTTTTAGTGTTCCTGCCTCAGGGGCATTTACTTTAAGTTTGGAGGTTTTTGGAAATGCATTTCAGTTGGTTATTCGTCGAAGGGGTAAGGTTTATTGGACTAGTGGGGCTTGGAACAATCAAGGTTTTCCATTCTTACCTTTATTCCATGATTCTGCTACTATTTATCAGTACAATCTCAATTTGGTATCCGATAAAGATGGGATGTTCCTCCAATTTGATGCAACAGAGGGAAGTTTTCCAAGTCTTGCATTGAATTCAGACGGGGATATTCTTGGTGGATACCGGTTTACATACACCCTTTTTAAAGACTTCTGTTATGGTTATGAAAGCGAGGACGGTTGTTTCTCTAGTCAATTGCCTGAGTGTCGAAAGGATGGGGATAAATTTGAGCAAAAGAGTGGAGACTATATACATACATCTAGTATTACTACTGAGTTTTATGACAATGCAAGCATTAGTATTGTTGATTGTATGCAGAAGTGCTGGGAGAACTGCAGTTGTGTTGGGTTCACCACCGCCAGTGGCAATGGGACAGGCTGCCGTATTTGGAATGGAAATGGAGATTTTCGAGTCTATGAGAGTGGTAATGCAATGCAAAGATATGTTCTAGTTTCACCAAAATCATCTAAAGGTAAGTCTTCATATCAGGAATACTCATTTTTATGTACTCAATTGTCAACTGTATAACTCTCAGCATGCTATGGGTGCAGGAAAAACTTGGATATGGATAGTAATTAGTGTAGCTATTTTTATCGCGTTGCTAGTATCTGGTTTCATCTGCTACATTATAATGAGAAGACGCAAACTACAAGGTAAATCATCAAACTGTGGATTTAGAAGCTAGTAGGTTGTTTAGTCAGTTATTTTAAGCATGAATGTATATCTACATACTCTTCTTACATAGATGAGAAAAGAAAGGAGGAAGCATATATACGCGAGTTGACAGCAATAGACAGCTTCAACACCGCAAATCTGAAAGAAGAAGATGGAAGGGAAGTACAAGATTTGAAGATATTTAGCTTTGGATTCATATTGGAAGCCACAAACAACTTCTCAAGTGAAAAGATGCTCGGAGAGGGTGGTTTTGGGCCTGTTTATAAGGTATATTTGCAATATGTTTAAGCTCAGAGATTTGCTTAGTACTCTCACTACATAACGAATCAACTGTAAAAATGGACGGCAGGGAAAATTTCCAGATGGACGAGAGGTGGCAGTCAAGAGACTTTCAAGAACCTCGGGACAAGGGCTTGTGGAGTTCAAGAATGAACTCATACTAATTGCCAAAGTTCAGCATACAAATCTAGTTCGAGTTCTAGGATGTTGTATTCACAGAGATGAGAGAATGTTGATATATGAGTACATGCCTAACAAGAGCTTGAACTTCTTCCTCTTTGGTCTGTTACCATTCCACAAAAAAAAGACAGTAATTTTTCCAGTATTTAAAAAAAAAATTGATGTGAAATGCTTTCTCTTTAACAGATCCTGCAAGAAAGGAGCTACTGGATTGGCAGAAGCGATTTGCAATTATCGAAGGAATTGCTCAAGGATTGCTCTATCTTCACAAATACTCAAGAATGAGAGTGATACATAGAGATCTAAAAGCCAGTAATGTGCTTTTGGATGAAAACATGAATCCTAAGATAGCTGATTTTGGTCTGGCAAGAATTTTCAAACAGAACGAGACGGAGGCAGTGACTGGCAGGGTTGTTGGAACATAGTGAGTTGAGCCTAATCATTTTTTCGATATAAACCTATGGAACATGTGTGTATTCCTACTTACTGAGTGGAAAATGTTTTCTATCCTCTGCACAGTGGTTACATGGCTCCTGAGTTCGCCATGGAAGGAACCTTCTCAATCAAGTCTGACGTCTTCAGCTTTGGAGTCATAATACTGGAAATTGTGAGTGGTAGGAGAAATACTAGCTTACAACAAATTGATCGTCCACTTAACTTAATAGGTTATGTAAGTTTCTTGAAACCCTTCTTTCTTTAATGTACTAAAGTTTATAAAGTTCAATAATACTGATCATTTTAGTTCAGGCATGGGACCTATGGAAAGAAGGGCGTGCACTAGAACTGAAGGATCCAGCTCTTGAAGATCTTTGTGACACTGAACAATTATTACGAGTTATTCATGTCGGACTATTATGTGTACAAGAAGGTGCAGCAGATAGGCCAACAATGTCTGATGTTATCTCAATGCTTGGTAATGGAAGTATGTCACTGCCAATTGCAAAACAACCTGCATTTTTCACAGGAAGAGATGAAGCTGAATCATATTCGTCCACAATCAATACAAAAGAGTGTTCGGTTAATGATTGTTCCATCACTGCCGTTGAAGCAAGATAACATTAGAGATGTTCCTTCACTACTTATTAGGCTTTTTTCTCATGAAGGTCTCAAAGCTAATTTCTACAGCTTCATACATATTAGGACTTTGGCATAATCAACAGCTGGTTTCAACTTTCAAGCAAGTCTATTTCTTTGCAAATATAATAAAAGCGCGTAGTATAGGAAGAAGAAGTACGAAGAGATAGGAAAAATGACTGGACTGTATTGATCAGACTCATTAGTTCTACAGCTCGGGGTGAAAGTGACAAATAGCTGCCAAAACCATGCAACCATTCATCATAACATCGCTTGGATGAATATGAAGTGCCAATATACATAGTGAAGAAACCAAGAAAACCATTGCTCATAAAAATTAATGGATATGGTTTTTACTCTTCACCCAGCCACCACATTGATATTTATACCACTAATGTGTATGCATACTAATCTCTTTGGTACATCACCAACTATAGGAGTGTAATATATTTTTTACAAACCATAATATTCACCTTGTATACCTTAATTAGACAACTTATCACATTGCAGCAGCAGCAGAACCTCGTCGGCCAGATTTTGATGCACCACCAGCCACCTTATTCCGCCGCCTAGAGCTCCGTCCAGGGCGGTGTTTCCGGTGGCTTTGACTATGGCTGTCACTCCCACCAAACTTCTTCTTCTGCCTAAGCCTTCCACTATCCCTAAACAAGTCTCTTTCAGACTGAACAATCACACATTCTGGTGGTGGCACAGGGTACCTAAGGTTATCATAACAATAAGAATAGTACATGTATCTTTCTCTAAAAAATTTCATGGATTTTCGCCTTTCTGTCGTGATGTTAGAGTAATCTTGAGCAAGTAATTTAGCACTCCTGTCAGTGCAATTTGTTGACGGAATTTGCTCAGTGGGATCTACTATGCATCCTTCAAGAACTAAGTCTTTAAGCTCTGTTGCAAAAGGTTCAAATTTATAGTCCACTTTAGCTTTGCCACCATTTGTAGCCCAAGAAGATGCATCCCAAATTGTGGCATATAAAGACATTGGTTTTGATGGAAAGTCACCTCCCATTGCTGGATGGCGATTTATTTCTCTAAGTGGTGTTTCATCAATGTAAAATCTGTAAAGAAAGGAAAAAAAATCAAGACTTCTATAACTAAAGTCCTATGTTGCTCAAACTCTTAAAAAATGCTAACGGGATGTGAGACTCTCTAAAGTTAGTGCATTTTTAAGGATCCGATACGAATGCCGAACAAAGAGTTAAGAGCAACATAAAGCATTGGTAACTGCTTATAATAAGTGTAACTAGTTACTTGAAAATATATAGAGCATACAATATTATGTTGCAACAGGTAAAATTACACTCTTGAGTGTAATATCTTCACACTGTCAGTATATATAAGTATAATCCTATGGTAATCACGTAATTTCAATCATTAAATAATTATTGTGCGACTATTTCAAAATATCTTATGGGCCTAAACTAGAAATACTATCTTCAAGTTTTTGGGAAAATGTCCACAAATTTATGTTGTGAACTTTAGTATGATCACTTTAAGAAATCATTTCCTCGTAGAAAGCCAAGAAGACATTGATATTTACTATTATGTGGTCCTATGTTTACTGTACTCGTTAATTTATAGAGTACAAACAAAAAATTTGTTAAATAAGCTTGATGGTATATGTACATATATTAATAAGCTTGATGGTAAATATTGTGATTTGTGGCAATGTAAACAAAAAACTTGTTGATAAGAACAAAACATGATGGTCCGATACACAAAGTATTTCGTGCCCACATAGGATTCGAGGAAGTGCCTCACCCAAGGGATAAGGGATGCTTCCATGATTCGAATTCGTGACTTGTAGGTCACTTTAAGACAATTTATCTGTTGCCTTCAAAAATACTCCCTCCGTTCCATTCGAATTCGTGACTTGTAGGTCACTTTAAGACACTTTAATGCATAAATTACTATATTCTTCCTTTTTTATCCTTGTGAGTTATTAGCCTTGAAATAAATTATATATTTGATCAACTTAGAAAAGCTAAGTAAATGATTCATGTTCATTGGTTAAATTAATTAATCAAAATAAATTAATTCATATTCATTGATTGAAAACTTGAGTTCCAAAAAAATAAAATAAGGGTAAAAGGGTAAAGTTACATCATTTCTTAATGCAAATGCAAAGTAAAAATGTGGCATATAAAATGGGACGGATGAAGTATTTACTAAGAAAATTTTGTGCAAGCCAATGATATTAAAAAGGAGTAATAATTAAGTTCAAAGTCATGATTATTGACCTTTCTTTTCAAGTTTAGACAATTTTTTAAGTGTGTACGTATTCAATTAGTGCAAATGTCATTTGGAGAACAGCCAATCACGCCAGTTTTTCAGCTTTAAGAATTTTCTAGAAAAAGGAAAAAGTAACAGTTGCATTACATAAATCAAGCAATTAGAACTTTATATCACTTTAATAAAGGTTAGCTATTCAGATTAATTAATTAATGAGCTAATCAACATTTTCTGCACTTAATTATTTGCATCAGCTGGCCCAATCATTAATGCTCCCATGAACTGGACCATACCAACTTTGACATGGTAAATACTTATCCGTATAAGATGTTTTTACGCTAAATTAAATGATTAAAGCAAAAATACATACCATCTGACCATAGTTAAATATTTGAAAAGAGTTTATGCAAAACATGTATTTACATTTATTGACATAATATAATGTATGAAAAGAAAACTCCAGAGAAAAAAATTGTTTACTTCATTTATTTTTAGATTTCTCTATATATACACATCATAAAATTAAAAATATGATGGAAAATATGTCCCCGTTCAATCAGTGACAAATATATAGACATCATAAAATTAAAAATGTGATGAAAAATATGTCCCCGTTCAATCAGTGACAAAACTATGTAATTAACCTCGTCCAAAGGTGTTATTGAGACTTTTTTTATTTTGGTTTCCCACCCGTGTCCAGAGCCCACATTGGACCTCCGACTAAATCAGATCGTGCACTACAGGGCCCATTCAGGGATGACCCTCCCAACATGATTTTTTCCATACTCAGGGCTCGAACCCGAGACTTTCTGGTTAAGGATGAAACACTCTATTTGAAACTCTTTGTTTGAGCATTTTTCATTAGTTAGATAGTTGAAACAATTTTTATATGAATGAATGTTATAAAAGTGTTTGACTGGTAGATATAAATTATCTCTATTTTTTGTTTTGTTTTCACGTTTGGAGTTTGCATTGAAGACCTGACTAAATTTGAATACTATAGGATCCATTCGGGAGTGACACTCTCAACAAGGCTTTCTCCATACTCATAACTCAAACTTGAGACGTTTAATTAATGGTGAAACAGCTCCATCACCACGCCATATTTGGTAACCATTATCTTATTCAACAAAAGCAACAGCTGACCAAATAAATATGTATTTTAACTTTTTCGAAAACGAGTCGAAACCTTAATACGTAAATTTCTCTCTCCGCGTTTGGCCAAAAAGTAGGCATAATATACTTACTATTTCCAACAATTTTCTTGCTGCCTAATGTTTTTCATAACTAAGAGATTATTCTATTAAAACTTAAAAGGAATAAGAGGACCATTAAGATGTTCTATTCCGTTCACTTTTAATTAAAGAATTCGGGTTCAAATTTTGAAAATAGGGAAAGTTTTGATAGAAAGTGTCTCCACCAAATTAGTCGACCAAAATTCAAGATACCAAATAGTATTACCAGAAAATAATAAGAGTTGGTCAAACCAACTCTTATTAAGGAACACTTTTAAGTATTAAAGTAATCGATTCTATGAATAATTAATCAGCGATAGAAGTACTGAAACTGATAATAAACGGAGAGAAGAAGGAATATAATTAGGAAGCTTACATGATATGTTTTGGTGTCCAAAGAATGCTGTATTGATGAAAGTCCTTGCTTGGATCAAACCACATTCTATACCTCTCTTCTCTACCACGGCTAACACTGCCATTTCCATACATGTTAGTCTGAAACCTCCATGGCTGACCATTCACATTCCCCAAAAACTCAATATCTAACTCGTCATGATTCTTCTCAAATGTGTCCGCATTTGATGTCTACATATCCATATATGAACTCATTAAATGAAAAATACAACATCTTCCAACAAACAAACATAGTCAACGATCTCAAATGTTAGTAACTGAGTTCTGAATTTGTACATATTTAATGAATTTCTTAACAAAGATACGAAGTTTTAAGTTATGTCTAACTCATATATTATACATCCATACCTAGTTGGATCATTTATACTTTTGCAGTGCATGAAACATTCTGCATTACGTACATAAGACTAGCTCGTTATAAGTATTAGTGATTGCTTCAACGAATTGTATACTATGTACATCACTTATTTTAAATTTCAACGAACAATGATGCAATGTAGTAATAATCAAACTACATGCATTTTCATATAACTCTTCCCCATGCAAAATACACAGGTACAATTGTACATGCATATAATATTATGACAAAAATAGTAGTCAAAAGCCTCTCTTAAACAATATTTTATGCATATACATTAAAAAAAAATCAATACAATACGATTTTTTTTTTGCATATATTAATAATTTGTTAGATACTTACATAAAATGCGACAACGATGCCGGCAGTATATATGGCCGGCAACTTTATACTAGCACTAAAAAATCCATAGTTGTAATATTCTGTTGAAATTACACCCGATCCTGCAAAACAAGTATAAATTGACGATTCAGGCATATCCAGTGAAATTTCACAGCTAAAATGTACGCATATGAAAATAAATTAAAAAAAGTTGAATTAATTAACTAATAAATGAATTACCTGAGAATTTATTAAGGAGGAGACGAAAACTTCGATCATCAGGAGATCGTTCAATATTGAAATCACTAAAAAGAGGGGAATATCCTTCTTCGAAAGTAATCGTCGATAGATTAAACGCCTTATACGTCGTGTTCGCCGCCGTCGTCTCAGCCGCCGGAAAAATGTACAACAATAAAAGGAGAGAGAAAGGTGCTATTGATTTTGATACAGATGAAAGAACTCGATAATCCATGATTTTTTTGTAATTCTGTATATAAATTTTTACTATATATACATACATACGTTGGGTTTTTTTTTCTCTCTTCTTCCTAAATCATACAAAGTTTTGTAATCTTCTCATTTTCTTCTTCTTTTGGATTCTTCGATTCGTAAAAATGGTAACAAAATATGCTGCCATGAAGAAAGAGAGAGGAAACCAGAGAGATTTGGCAGGTTACGGTTTTGAGGAGTGGAATATAATAGTCCTCGTAGTTGGGGTTATTTACTAGATTGCCATGTGATTTAATTTTTATGAAAAGGAAAAAAGAAACTAAAGCAAAAATCAACATGTTTTTCTAACTATATCCTTATTGGTAATTTAATAAACTACACCAATTCATGTATTATTAATTTATTTTAATAGACATAATTTTTGATATATTCGTGCTTTTTTGGGATGGTGGAGTAGTATGAAAGAAAGTTGTATTTGACCAAAACATAATTGAATCTGATTGTAATATTGCGAGTTTGATGAAAATGATCTATTAACTTAAATAGAAAAAATATTTTCTTTTTAAATTTCTTTATGTGTAAAAGAATTATAAAATTAAATCTTTTGCGAGTTTGGGTCCCAATTAGGCGAGCTATATTATGTCCATTATATTGAGGATGTAATAAGATAGTGTTATTATTAGGTTAAATTAATTTAAGATAATAGATAACTCCTCCATATATATCAAACAAAATATCAAATCTAATCTGGACTTGAAAATTAGAGTGTAATCTCATTTATACTACATAAGAAGTCAAATATATTGATATTTAATTACTACTTATTTTAATATGCTTAGCATAATATAACTGAAATTCGAACTATCGCATGTAGGTGATGTAATTAGCTTTCCTAATAGGAAAAATAGATATACAGCTCAAACGGTTATAATGATAGAGATTAATTCACCTTAAATTAAAAAATTTAAATTTGAACTTTCATAAATGAAATAAATCTTATTGGAAGTATCGCACTAAAAATGAATTTTACAATGTATAAATTTAATCTAATCTTAATATATGAATACCTATCACCACATTATTTAAGTATTTTAGTCATTCCTCCTACATTTTATTCAATCTCGTTTCGTCACTGTTCATGATTAAATAGTACATAGCTAGATTGTTTTTCTTTAAAGGGTAAAGGGTCAAATATGCCCCTAAACTATTCGAAAAGGTCTAGATATACCCTCCGTTTAAAGTTTGGCTCACTCGTGCCCTCGCTGTCCAACTTTTCGTCTAGATATGCCCTTATGGGCGTTTGTTAGCCTGCTGGACATATCCGGCTCATTTTCCATTTCTTTAAATGTCACATGGAATTGTCATGTCATTTTGACTTTACCACATGACATTTATATAAAAATGGAAAGGGATCAATTATTCCCCTAAAAAATTCTAACCCATAAACACCTCTAATCTGACCCATAAATCAACCCCCCTTTTAAATAAACTACCCGACCCATTTTCAACAATTTAGTTTAAATTTTTATTTTTTTCGGTAAATCCCAAAAATGAGTAATTGATTAATAAAAAATATGAAAAATATAAAATTAACGCCAAAAATTCACAAATAAATATTATAACCTTAAATTCAAGAATTTCAAAATAAAATTAATTTTTTTTTCCGTAAATCCCGAAAATGAGTGATTGATTAATAAAAAATATGAAAAAAATATAAAATTAACGCCAAAAAATCACAAATAAATATAGTAACCTTTAATTCAAAATTTTCAACAATTTTTTAATTTTTATTTTTTTCGGCAAATGGGTAATTTATTAATAAAAAATAGGAAAAATATAAAAAATATATATAAAATTTAAGCCAAAAATTCACAAATAAATAGAGTAACATTAAGTTCAACAATTTCAAAAAAAAATTATTTTTATTTTTTTTGGTAAATCCCGAAAATGAGTAATTGATTAATAAAAAATAAAAAAAATATGAAAAAAATATAAAATTAAAAAAAATTGTTGAAATTGTTGAATTTAAGGTTACTCTATTTATTTGTGAATTTTTGGCGTAAATTGTATATATTTTTTCCTATTTTGTATTAATAAATTAGTCATTTTCGGGATTTGCCAAAAAGAATAAAATTTTAAAAAATTGTTGAAATTTTTGAATTTAAGGTTACTATATTTATTTGTGATTTTTTTGCGTTAATTTTATATTTTTTTTCATATTTTTTATTAATTAATTACTCATTTTCGAAATTTACCGAAAAAAAATTTAAAAAATTGTTGAATTTAAGGTTACAATATTTATTTGTGAATTTTTGGCATTAATTTTATATTTTTTTTCATATTTTTCCTATTTTTTATTAATCAATTACTCATTTTCAAGATTTACTGAAAAAAATAAAAATTTATACAAAATTGTTGAAAACGAGTCGGGTAGTTTATTTAAAAGGGGGGTTGATCTATGGGTCGAATTAGGTGTTTATGGGTTCGAATTTTTTAGGGGCATAATTGATCCCTTTCCATTTTCATATAAATGTCATGTGGTAAAGTCAAAATGACATACAATTTCGTGTGACATTTAACTAAATGGTAAATGAGCTGGATATGTCCAGCAAGCCAACTAACGCCCATAAGGGCATATCTAGACGAAAAGTTGAACGGCGAGGACACGAGTGAGCCAAACTTTAAACGGAGGGTATCTAGACCTTTTCAAATAGCTTAGGGGCAAAATTTGACCCTTTACCCTTCTTTAAATGATCGCAATCCATATGGAACTGAAAGGATGAAAGTGATTTGACCAATCTTATTAATGCCATAAAAATTTACTCGCATCCGATATTTATAATATTATGAGAAAATCCTTGTCATGACCTCAAGTAACTTATGAACTAAATCAAAAGTCAATATATATATACGAGTAAATGTTTTTGTTCTACTTGGACAGTACAATTTTTCCACAACACCTCAGATTTTACTCTTGCACCTAGTGATCAGTAGAGTGAGTTGAAAACCATGATATCTCACGTTAAAAATTTAATGAAAACAAAAACACTTAGTGATATCTTCTCATCTGTTCAAACTTTGGTGGACAAAATAATTACCTGGTACTTGTGCTAGTTAGAGATAGCAGGTACCTCATGAAACTAGTCGAGCAGGCAAGCTGACCCGAATACCACTTTTATCAAAAGAAGAAAAAGAACTAGGATAAGTCTTGAGTCATCATTAGGCATGTCTGTCTAAACCAAGTTCAAGATGGCCAATTTAAGTAAAATACAATATACAACAATGATATCTTCCCTTTACTGTCTTCATGTAGGCCCAGAAAATCATTTCACTAAAGCTTTTGGCTTTTCTAGTTTTCAAGGTAGGCATAGATGAACATGGCACCCCACTTCTAATTCTGGAATCATGAGAACTCCCAAAACAAAAGAAGAAGTTACAGAACTAGCTCAAAGAAAGATAACTGACCTGGCAACTCTTTATAGAAAGGTTTCATTAGCTGGTTGCAATCATGCATGAGATGAGTATGAAAGAAACTCCCACTTCACTGCAGTGATGATTACCTGCAAATATCAGCATGCGTGCTTTGTGTAAAGTTAAGACACAAACTATATATGCACAATTTAGAAGCTTCCACTAGAATTGTAATGATGGCTCCATGGGATCACCAATATACATATATATAACAATTAACAACAATAATATAACCCGGGGTGATCCTACAAATGGGGTCTGGGGAGGGGAGTGTACACTGTACACAGCCAGACAACCTTACCCCTACGTTGTGAAGGTAGAGAGACTGTTTACGATAAATCCTTGGCTCAAATAAAGCATATCAAATAGGCATATATATAAGGATCACCAATGTCACGAGGACTCCACAGCTCCACTGTTCAACAGGATATAAGAAGCTGAAGAAAGAAATACCCTTACTGGATGATAATAAAACAATAATGTTTTTCTGAATTTTTCAAATTTGGCTGTTCGACAACCAGGGAGGCCCTTTTGGAGGAGCCATTCCCTGCTGTCCCTTGGTCAGCAATCGAACAGCCACTGACAACCAACGAGTTCGGGATTGGGACCCATGCCTAACCTGCATAGCCAGTTTTCAGAAGTTATGGAGCCATTTTACCTAGGTTTCCTCGACTGGCCGTGAATGACACTCAGACTGCATTTTCACAGATTGCCAGGACCACACTGGAAACCAGCATTTTCTGGAATTGAAAGCTTAGAAATTTGGATTTGTATCATACAGCAAGCAGTATATGTGTAAAACATGTTATATGAGTCTGATGATTATCAGATACAAAATTCATGCTTCGTGGGTTCGAACGAGTAAACAATATACAGAACTAGAAGATGAAAAAATATTTCTTGTTGAAGTACAAAAGAATATCTCTAGCTATTAATAATATGGTATTTAGACTCCACATAGCTTTCTGTCTCCCATAAAAATGATCCAAAAGCAACTGCCTCCAGCACCAGCATTGTCAAACCAGAGTATGTAACAGACAGAACTTCATCATTAGATACATCTAGGGTACCATCACCAGAAACTTTAATATCAGGCCTTCCAAACAATGCTTGCGTCTGCTTTTCAATCACAGTAACTGCTTCCTTTGATCTTAAGGTTGCATATCTCTGTAATGTGTCCGCATCCAAATACATCACATAGGATCTCAGCCTCTCTGGTTTACCCTCAATATCAGAAACTGCAAAACCTTCTCTGTCACCATCTTCAGGGTAAATTTCTATCAATGAATCTGGATCCCATAGTTGTCTCGGTGCTGCTGGCTCATCAGGATTTGTTGAGATCTGGAAACTCTCAGGAGGCTTACTCACCGATCTCTCAAGTTGATAACGTTCGTCAACCCTTTTGAGGAAATATCCATACATAATAGAAGCAGCATAGAGCTTACCAAGTTTGATTTTGCTCATTTGAACAATGCTATCCAGAGGGCCCACAGCACGCTCACCGAGAACTATAGATATGTGACTGATGATCATTTCAAATGCATCAGGGGAGTGTACGGATTCTAGCTTCTGCTCTTGATTTGGCCAATAACCCACATTTCCAGTAGGATCTGATGTTTCAGATATTTTTGGGATCATTGAAATGTCATTGTCTACAAATTTATGTACAATTAAGCAGTACAGAATCTCCT